CCCCCCTCCCTCCTTTCCTTCCTTCCTTCCTTCCTTCCTTCCTTCGTTCCTTTATTCTTTTATTTTTAGTCTTTTTGAGGCAGGGTCTTCCCTTCTCAGCTGGCCTGGAACTCTAGACCAGGTTGGCCAAGAACTCACATAGGTCTGCCTGCCTCTGCCTCCCAAGTGCTGGAATTAAAGGCATGAGCCACCATACCCAGCTCTTCCTGTGATGTTTTTTTAAAGGCAGGGTCTTGCTATATAGCCCAGATTGGCCTTGAACTTGAGGCTGATCTCATATATTTTATACAGAAATAGAAAATTAACCAAGACATCCATTTCCTGCCTTTCTCATTGATAGTATGTGTTGCTATGTATTTATAGCAGTTGTGCTGAGTCTATCTTCAGCATCAGAATTGTCTGAGCATGTGCTGTATTGGGCCACTCTCTCAGAATTGGCATAATGTGAAAATTTTGTTTTCTCTTCAATGCAAATACACTTCTTAATCTATGTAGTAGTGTGTAATAGAGCAGCTAGATGTAAATAAGGGGTTCTGTTGTGGTGTTGCGGGTGTTGCTGTGAAGACTCTAACCTGGATTGGGTCCCCTGCTGATTAGGGGGGGCAAGAGGCACGGAGTCACAACACACAGACCCCAGGAGTCAGGTAGAAGCAAGCACTAGGCGAGGTGCTGCAGGCTCGTTTAATGCAGGAGGGGACAGGCTTTCTATTTCCCTTTTCTCCGCCCCCAAGTCCCTTTAGTCAGCGTATTGTTTTCTGATTGGTCCGTGCCACGCAGTCTGTCAGCAGTCACTGGGCTCACGAGCAGGGTACTTAGGCATGGGCTCCTTTTCGCGGGCTATTTGTGGACCAAGAAGTGAAGTGAATTCTTGCTGAATCCCAGGGCTCTGGGTCCACACCATCTTTGGAGGCCTCCTGCTACATTTCCACCCTTTTTCTTTAAAAATGACTGTCCAGCAAGAGCCTGTAGGCAGCTCTGCCTGGGATGACCCCAGGATCATGGACTGTGCCTGTCTTAAATTGTCCTATTCGGGCATGAACCTTACCTGTCATTGGAGCATGGGCGTACACGTCCATGTTCTGGCTTAGGTTGATTCAGCCCAACAGGAGCTTACCCGTCATTGACTACCAGCCCTCCAAGGGGTATCGTCCTGGGGGATCATTCGAGGTGGGGAATTATCTGTAGGAGGCCTCGTACGTTTGTGCAAGCCAAGTCTGTTGGGCTGCATAGGGCGGGTTGAAATCATCTTCGTGTATTGCCCTGAGGGCCTGTTACACTGAGTGATTGAATTTTTTCTGACTGCGGGAATGAAGAACAAGACATTTAAGAACTAGAAAGAGAAGAATAATTATGCCTGTCAGGAGTAGGTAAGTGACGATCCAAGACGAGTCAAACAGTGCTGTCAGATTAGAGGCACTGCTGGCATAATCTTGGACAGTCAGGTTGAACAGCCCAATGCATGAGGATGCGTTGTTGATAGTGAACATAAAGAGTTGTTTAGGGGCCAGGAGCCATTGAGTGAGCCCCAGGAAGTAATTGGGTCCATGGTGGGAAGGCCAAGCATAGAATTGGTTGAATAGAGGGTGGAGTAGGCTGGGGAATGAAGTGAAAAGGGCAAGAGTATAGGCGGGGAGGGGACCAAGGCCCAGAGATCATGGGCCGTGGCAGGGGCAGGGAAGAGCAAACCAGTTATCCAGATAGCGGCAAGGTCCCTGGGTCCTGGAGGTCCTGTTGGTCGGTTGCTGGTCTCACGCCTCTCGCTGGAACCCATCTGGTTTGTTTCTGTCTGAGGAAACACACAAACATAGCCTCGCCCTCTTGTTAAGGGGGCGGGTGGTTGCCATTGACATGTTATGGAGTCCTTCCATCTCACTAGTGGCAGGGGTGTAGGCCTAGGTATGGTAGCCCAGTGTTTGTAGGCCGGGCTCAACCCATTTTCATCAAAGGACAGGAAATTAATGCTGAATAGAGCTTCAATTAGAGGCAGGTGTGGGTCCCTTTTAGACTCAGGGGTAGCAAATTTTTGTAATGTTTCTTTGAGGGTCCTATTGGCCCGCTCTACGATGGCCTGTCCCTGTGGATTATAAGGGATGCCGAGGGAGTGTGTTATTTTCCATGTTGACAGGAATGATTGCCATTGTAGAGAGGTGTAAGCTGGCCCATTATCAGTTTTTAGGGTCCATGGCACTCCCATTACCACCATTGCTGATTTGACTGCCTTAATGGCCTGTGAGGCCTTTTCACCGGTTTGAGCGATGGTGAAAAGAAAGGAGGAGTAGGTGTCAGCAATGACATGGACATACTTAAGATTACCAAAGGAGTTATAATGGGTGACATCCATTTGCCAGAGGGCATTGGGTAGGAGACCATGCGGGTTAACTCCATATCAATTGAGGGGGCTTAAGAGAGCAAGGGGTGCACATGTAATGCAAGATCTGCTCAGATGTTTGCATTGAGAGATGGGTAGGTCGGGTAGAAGGCAGTGCAGACTGCGAGGAGAAAGGTGAAATCGTTCGTGTACGGCTCTGGCTTGTTCTAGTAGAGGAATCTTTATGGACATAATAAGTTTATCTACTTTGTCATTTCCCTTTGCCAAGATCCCAGGGAGCTTGGTGTGTGATCTTATGTGGGAGATGTGCCAGGGCCATTGTCTGTTATCTAAGATAATCTTGAGAGCTCTCATCATTCTAGTGATGGGATCCTTGTAGCCTTTTACCCAAGCAAAGGGAAGACATCTGAGGGCCTGAACCGCATACTGGCTCTCAGAGAATATATTGAGCGGCTCAGCCTGGCAGACTTGGAAGATTTTTAACAAGGTCAGGAGCTCCCCCAACTGGACAGAGCTGGGATTGGCTTGTACATAACAGGTGTCATCCTTTCCCATGCGCTGAATGACACCGCCATAATGGGACTTATTGGCATCTGAGAAGGCTAGTGTGGCTAAAGGTAGGGGGTTTTTGCAGGGGGAAGTGTGTGGCTGAGTGATGATTTCCAAACAGGCCAGGCTGGCCAGTTGCTTATCTGGGGGTGCGTGGATATCCAACTCCCCCGTCAACCCAGACATCATTAGTTGAAAAGCCAGAGAGTCTGCCCATAATGTTTGGGAATGCTTAAGAGGAAAGGGCAGTATAATTTTGTCAGGTTCCTTTCCAAATATGTGCCTGGCTGTTTGTCGGGCCTTAATTGCTAACTTGAAGGCAATATCATACTTAGAGCTAAGCCTAGTTAGGACTGAGGTAGCCAGGTGGATTCACACCAGGGGGTCTTGCTGCCATAACACCCCCAAGACACCATTTTTAGTCCAGCGGATTAAGGCCAGTGATGGTTCTGCTGGGTCATGATGTCAGAGTGACACAGACCAGAGTATATGATCTATCTTATTAAGAAGATCCTTAGCTGACTGGGTGAGAGGGATCCTTGAAGTTGGTGAATTATGGCTTTCCAGCAGGGAGAACAAGGCCTGGAATTCCAAGTCAGGGACTGGTATAAATTGTTTGAGCCAGTTTATAGTCCCACAGAGTTCTTGGAGCTCCGTCAAGGTATATACAATATTTTGAAAGATGGAAGGGTTAAGTGGTTTAATTACAGTATCTATATGGTAGACAAGGAATGTGAAAGTTTGGATGTATTGTAACTTGTCTTGTGCAATGTGGAGACCTAGACATTCTAAATCGGCAAGCAGACTGGGTATTGCAGCCTGTAAAGTATTCTGAGATTTTTGTGCTAGCAGTATGTCGTCCATGTAGTGGATGACAATTAGGTCCTTGGGGATGTTGGTTAAGGCCTTGTTAACATATAATTGACAGATTGTGGG